GCAGGCCTAGTTCTCACCCCCCGCCTACCAGTAAACCACATTGGAAGCACACTGAAATCACTGGGTGTGAGACCAGGTAAAGAGCCCTGGTGGGAGCACGCTCCCCGCCTGCCTGCCAGTAAGACACACTGGGGGCACAGATATACCTGAGGAATCTGTCCCCAGGATTCCAAAGTGTAGCACAGCTCCATCCACAGCAGAACAGGCATTAACCAGCACCACAGGGGCCTCCCCCAAATGGCTAAATTGGGAAGGCTCAAGTTTGATATTACTCATCTGGAACAGTGGAGCTCATACATCTCCCAAGTAGACAACTATCTCCGAGCTAACCAGATCACAGACGATGGCCTGAAGGTGGCAACCTTACTATGTGTCTGCGGACAAGCCACATTTCATATCGCTGAAAACCTGATAGCACCGGCAAGTATAGAGACTGTGGCCTATGCAGACCTCAAGAAAAAATTAAGGGAACATTTTGAGCTGAAACTCTCAGTAATCACCTGGCGCCATGCGTTCAAGCAACATGAGCAGAGATCCCGGGAATCTGCAGCAGAGTTTGTGGCAGCCCTTCGCCAAGCTTTGCACCAATGCGAGTTCCCTGACTTGGAAGACGGTCTCACAGACAGGCTCATTTGCGGCCTGCATAATAGAGAATTAGAGCAGCGCCTATTCACCATGGAGAAACTGACTTTCCAAGATGCATTCAAGGAAGTCATGGTGGAAGAGGCTGCCAGAGGGGCAATGAAGACTCTCCGGCCACCTAAAACACACACCAGCCCCACAGCGATCCACCAAGAGACCGCAGAAGGCTCAGGGGAGGCCAGTGAGAGTGAAGAAATAGATCGTTTGTGGAAAGAGCCACCCAGACGGCCCCGCTCCACAGAGCAAGCAACTTCCCCACAGAGCTGAGCAAGCTGCGGGGGACAGCATGAAAGAGCAGAGTGTGGAAAGCAAGGGCATCTTGCAAGAGTTTGCAGAGGTCATCAGTGGGAAACGAAACCTGCGACACAGCAGCACAAGGGGAAATGGCCCTAGGACAGAACAGATCTGAATACTGCTCAGGAAGGTGTAGCATCCAATGCACAGGGTCACAACGTTCCATCAAAGAAAAGATAAGACTCCAACTAAGACTGCAAGGGGTCCCATGCTCCATGGAGCTAGATACTGGATCGGCCCTGTCAATTATCTCCTCCAGGACTTTCAACCACATTTGCAAACATAGCCGATGGCGGGTTCCGCTCAAATCATCGAGCTTAGTGCTAACAGACTTCCAGAATTGTCATGTTCCCATAAGGGGGGAAGCTACCATTAGGGTACAATTCAGAGAGTTTGAGGGTCTCCTCAGCATTGTGGTCATAGAGGGATCGCACACCAATCTTATAGGACTGGACGGGTTCGAGGCTCTGGGCATCAGGGTGACGGGCATCCATTGAACACAAATAGCAGCAGTATGCCAACAATATGCTGACGTATTCAATACAGAGTTGGGACAATACAAAGGGGCACCCATTTCACTCAACCTCGATCCAGCAGTAACTCCAATCCGATTAAAACCACACAAGATTCCTTTTGCATTGAAGCCAAAAATTGATGCCGAAATAGACAAGCTGGTACAGCAGTGAGTGCTCCAACCGGTGTATTGTAGCCAGTGGGAGACTCCAATAGTGACCCCAGTTAAGCTAACAGGGATGTACGCATCTGCGCAGACCACAAGTGCACCATAAACAAGGCACCACAGCAACATGCTTACTCTGTACCAGTAGTGAGCCACATCCTCACTTCACTCCAGGAAGGCTGAATCTTCACTAAGTTAGACCTCGCCCAGGCTTACCAGCAGCTACTGGTACACAACGCTACTGCAGAAGCACAAACAATTGTCACACACAGAGGTGCATTCCGAGTGCACAGCTTGCAGTTTGGGGTAAGCGTAGCACCAGGGTTGTTCCAAAGTATTATGGAACGAACACTGAAGAACATTCCCGTTATCTGCCCATATTTTGATGACATCCTGATTGCGGGGGAATCAGCGGCAGTCCTGGTGGAATGTCTACGTGCAGTACTCCAATGTTTCCATGAGGCAAGCCTAAAACTCAAGAAGGAAAAGTGCCAGATCGGTGTGGAATCCACAGAATTCTTTGGTTTCCGCATCGATGCTGCCGGAATCCACCATCTGACGCAAAGCTAAAAGCAATTCAGCAAGCCCCCACACCAAGATACAAGGGGGAGCTACAAGCATTCCTGGGCTTGCTCAATTTTTACCACTCTTTCTTACTGCATAAGGCTGCCCTGGCAGAACTGCTACTCCACCTACTGGACAAAAAAAACGCCCTGGGTCTGGTCGCGCACTCAAGACAAAGCGTTCAAGGTGGTAAAATCATTGTTATCATCGGACTCCATCCTAGCTCATTTCAACGAAAACCTACCAGTAACACTAGCCTGTGACACTTCGCCATATGGCATTGGGGCAGTACTAAGCCACAGGATGCCAGATGGTGCAGAGGCCTCCATAGCATACTATTCTAGAACATTATCATCGGCTGAAAGAAACTATGCCCAGATAGACAAGGAA